CCACATTCGATATTCTACTACGGTTTTATTTTCCTCTAATAACAACAAATATATTTAATTATCAATGATAGCAATAAATATCAAATAAAGTGTAGCGTTGTTATGTAAGAACGTTGCTACTATAGGTAAAAATAAACATTTCAAAGTATGATGCCCTAACTGGAACAAAGGTTTTTAAAAAAATACCGACCCTGGGCGAAGCCCAAGTTTTTTTACTAGTTGTACTATTTGTTACAAGATTTATCATCATATTTTTCCATATAATTTAAAATAAAATCATGATCCAACATTTAATGACAATAATACCACTACTGCAATGTTGCTTTAAACTAATATCTTCAACTCCTTTGATTAGTCAAAGATTTCATTTTGACTGTAAAAGTGAGTAGTTACATTTTCATTTATTCATGTTGGAATATTTGCTTTTGTTCTCAGTGTTGTAATGTTTTTTTGTAGGTTGTCGTGTACAGATATCCATATATGTCATTTAGAGGGGAACAGAACTATGTTTACAAGCTGAACGGAGCAAATTACCCTTTGCAGGTGTGCACTTTCACTCATTCTTTGTTCTTAGGCATTTCATCAAACACTTGTTAGGCACCACCATAGGTAAGTTATCAACATGTTTTATTATTTACTTAATTTCAGCAAATAAAAGCAAACCATTTAATGCATTTAAGTTGCATCGACTAAGTAGATGAAATCGAAGTCAATCTTGAGAAGAAACAGAACTAAACGTCATAAAGGTGGAACAACAGTCACGAACACAGTAATCACACATGAAAAGGAAAATGATGTTATTGATGTGCTTCATGATTCCAGGAGTTGTACCAACCAGAAAATTAAGACTTACCAGGAGATCAGAGAAGACTGTAGCCGACAGCAAGATCGGAGATTGGAGGCGGAGATAGGAGAAGGGTAGTAAAGAGAAAAATGGTAGCTGGATGTTTGGGATTAGTTTTTAAGTTCAAAACTTTTTTTAACTTTTAGCTTTTAGTACTAAAAGCCAAAAGTTATTTATAAATTTTGTTTGGTTTGTATTTCTTGACTTTTGAATATAATTTAGCTTTTAAAAAGTTAAAAATCATAAAAAGTCATATTTTCCTGACTTTTGAAAGCTTATATTTTTCTTCTTTACAAAAAATAACTTTGAAAAGAACTTTTGTATTTTCCAAATATTTTTTTGGCATTTTTTGACTTTTTGGAAAAGTTAAAAGAAAAAAAAAAACCATTTCAAAAGTAATCCCCAACACCTTCGAAGTTCGTGGAGGCGAGTTTATTTGATACTTAAGGATAGAAGGGTAGATTTGGAGGGTCGTATTTTCTTTTTAAAAATAACAAGAAAGTCAGGTACTCCGATTTTTCTAAAATGATTTTTTCAAGAGAATGAGAACTACAAAGGTTTTGTTTTTTAAAAAAATGTTTATTCGTTGGGCAAACAAATTTATATACTTATTAATTTTTAAAAAATCAATAATTTTTCTTTAAACTAAGTCCAAAACACCCCTACATGTTTGACAATATGCATTTGCATCAACTATAAGACTATACTGAGTGGGCTCGACATGCACCATGGTATGCTCGGCGGACATCGCCCCACCATGGTGACATGGAGCTTCAACGACATTCAGTTGTCGATGAGACAGAGGGGGGGGGGAGTCAACAACTTTTAAAAAAAATTCCAACTCCAAACCATTATAAATACTACACATATCCCACCAAATTAGACCAGATCAAATCTTTCTTTTCTCTAAAAAATTTATTCTTCTTCATCGTCGTCTTCTTCTTCCAGTCACCTAGAATTCATGCTAGAAGTCGTGATCACCGTTGCTAATTCGCTGCAACAAGAATTATACGAGGAAACGAGAAATATGCAATGGAGACGAAAAAGATATATAGAGAGAGGTCGTAAAGTTGCCCACCAATGTCTGATACATGATTATTTTGATGATCATGTTATTTTCCAAGGTTTTCTATTTCCGACGTCAGGTCCGAATGCACAAACATTTGTTTCAATGTATATTAGAAGATGTAACTGCAGCGTGTGAATTTTTATAATAAAGTCCAAATGCAAAAGGTACAATATGATTTCATCATTTACAAAAATGCACAGTCGTGAATCATGATTCGTATGCTATCATATGGCACCTCACCCCGATGCACTAAATGAGAGTTTTAGAATGTCCTCACATACCCTATGAGAAAGTTTTCACAATTTTTGCAAGTATGTCATGAGAAAGTTTTAGAACTACTAGCATTGGCATCACCAATCCCAGGGGAAACATTGACGATGCATATGTCAACATCGAAACTGGCGGTGAGTGCAGTTTTGGCGGCCAACAAAAAGGACAAACAGATAACCATTATAAGGAGCTGAAATATGATATTCGAATATGGAGAAACTAGTATTATCACTCATTAATGCAACAAGACAATTAGGAAGATGCTTCCTAGAATATGCGATAGATGTACTAAACAATGCCCCAATAAAGCAAGTGTGATTGAAACTGATGTGTCTAGAACAGCTACACCTAATTTTACCTTCTAATCTACTAGCTATTCGACCCAGGGCAGTGTATCCTTTCGCATATAGTATAGCACAAAAGTCGGGTATCGAACTCAGGGAACGGTTTTAATTAATTAATCTACTTACTATTAAATTAACCTAAAATTCTAGCAAAGTAAATTGGTTTATATCTGATTTTACAAGTTTAGATAAACTTAAATTCTCAAACACAATTCAATCAAGTAATAAGAACACTTCTGTTAGTTTGAATCCACTTTCCCTCAATGGTTTAACTATTAATTATGACAATTCTCGTTTGTTACCAATTAATGTATTATTAGCAATTCAATTCCAAATTAACTAATGTTGAATTAATTCATGTAGATCTATGCATATTCACACATAATTTAACACATAATTAACTATTGAATAGAATTGAAGCTATATAAGATTGAGTTAACAAATACAATTATGTTCGTAATATGAGTTCTCCAGCACAACCAAATTCAATACTTCAATTACTTATCTAATATTGGTTCAATCTTAGCTCTAATAATCTAATGTTCACTAAATTACCAGGTAATCAAATTCATGCGGATTATTGGTCACTAAGCTACACAGAATATGAGTTTAAGCAATCTTGTATCAAATTAAGCATGCTAGGTATAAACAATCAAACACAAGGCACTAACCAACTAGAAAAGTCTCAATTAATATAAACAAACCATGAGTTCCAGCTTCATCTAGCTAACAGAAGCAACTAGATTTAGCTACTCATACTAACAATCAAACAAAAACAATTCATCTCGAGTTTTCTAAATTGGGCTCATATGACACAAAGCTAGCACTACCTCCAAGAAGAACAATTTTTTTATACAATAATGACAAAATAGAGGAACATATTTACATAAGTCTACCGTTCATCATCTGAATCAGGAGCAGACACATGAATCAGAGGAAGACAAATAGTGCCTGAATCTACCCATCAAAACTTACTTTTCCAACCACTGTTGGTACCGGGAAGATCATAAGAAAGGGGGAAATGACGACTACTAAAGGAAAACCAATCGTCGTATTTCTTCAAACCATAAAAATATCGAAACAAGGACATACGAAGAGGAATGCAAGAGGACACACATAAAGTCTCAAAAGTAATGACTTTTGACACACCATTGGGGAAAAGTTGAATAAAGTGAATACCATAAAAACACAACACATCCAAAAAGAACGAAGTAGGAGGAAGTCTCAACCCTCACACAAGATACCGAAGATAAAACCCCACCTTACCAGCAGGGGCATCAAGGATACATAAAGATGAAGAAGGAAGAGTAACACCATGCACAGGAGAGAGTTGGTACTCATACACATATCAGTCTAATGTAAAGCTATCGGTATAGGAAAGAATGGTTGACCTATGACAAGTCGTAACGAAATGCGACGTACAAAAAGAGAGAAACGTACAAGAGATGAAACATTCCAAAGTAACGATTATCCGTTATATAAAAGAACAAACGGTCAAGCATTAATTAGGCGATCCAATCAAATAAAGCGACGTGACTAATTGACGACGGGAGCATTTATTGAAGCATGTACCTGCACCACGCGCGTCACTTCAAAAACCAAGGAAGATTTCAAAATGTAAACGATAAACAATTTTCGTGCTGTTATTTACCCTTTAGGAATTGATGGTGTACCCGAGTCGACCATTCTAGCCAACATCGACCCGGGTATAACAAGCTGGTGGATAAACGATAAAAGCACAATTGTTCAAAGGATAACGAGATGTAATGCAATATCGATATACGATGAATAAAATTTCCCAAAAATATATATCCTAGAAATTACGCATAAGCACAAGATCCTAGCAATATAAAAAGTACTCATTAGTACAAACCACATAGCTGCCCATGTAATGCAAGCTACCGAGTAGAACCCCGTAGCAGAGAACACTGAGATGCTTATAAACCCCCAAAAGAACGCATTAAGAAGGTAATGTTTTCGGAACCTAAACAATTTACTCACAGCCTCAATCAACATCTAACTTAAGCATCGGAGAAACATACCGGGTCCATCCCTCGATATGGCTTTTTAATCTAACTTTTGTCTATCTTATGCAGCGTGACTTCCAGAATGCTCTTTAGAAGAGGTCCTCAATGACTAGCTAACAACGTATCCGAAAGCCCACGTAGCAACATGTTGCATTTTTTGGATAAAAATATGATTAAATTAAGTAAATAGTCCTAAAAGTTAAGAAACATGTCAGAAAAGACAAATGCAGGGGTAGAATGGTCTTTTATAAGTAACTTAACAGAGACATATGGATAATAATTGGCCTAGGGACTAAAATTGAAATCAAAACCTGTAACAAGGACCATTTTTGAAAAAATCAAGAAAGTATGACTAAAACTGCAAAATCATGCTAACCACAGGACAGTTTCTGTATTTTAGTCTTTTTTTTTGTTAGTATATAAGCAGTCAATGCGGTCTTTCGTTATGGTCTTTCTTAATGATTACAGTACATGATTGGTAGCCAGACAGAGTGTTCGAATCCTTAAGAATATGACTCCGATGTTTTCACGACGAAGGAGAAGACAAGGATCGTAATTCTTTTCCCCTCAATCCAGCCCCCCCCCTCCCATTCTGGTAGCTTTTCTTTTCGCATCTGAGATTGCAGATTTATTCACCCTGTTCAGCTGTTCTTATTTCTTAACTCGTCATATAATCTACCAAAAGATTCGGATTTGAACATCTGTGTGCAACCAAAAGTCCAACCTTCCAAGTCAACGCAATAATGGCTTCCTTTGTTAGGATTTCAGGTAATCATCTAAACTAAAATCCAAATACTGTATCTAGCTTGCTAGATCTTCGATTTAGCTTCTTCTCTTTTTCCCTTTTCTGCTCTGCTGCTCGTAGTTTGGAATCTGATGCTTTGCTTTGAACTGGAGCTTACCTATATTCATTGGAAACATGACTATGGCCTTCACATTTTTTATTGGAGTTTATAACTTTAAAAAGTTATCAATTGTTTATCATATCTATTCGATCTTTTTAACAAAATTTTATTATCTACAAAGATAATAAAATTTATTCTTATCTTATGGGAATTTCAGCACTACTATGGGCGGATTTGTTAGCTGCATTTGCAATGTATATCATGATGACCTACTTAACAAATGTCTGGAATCTAAGCACTACACATGCTGCTGGTATTATAAACATTTGGAATGGAATCACAGCAGTTTTAGCCATTGTGTTTGCCTATATTGTTGATTCCTTCTTGGGCGACTACTATATGCTTCTTCTCTCTAGCATTTCCTACACTATCGTAAGTAATTCAATGCACAACATTTCCATCTATAATTCCTAAAAAAAATCTAAAATTAAACCAAATCAATGCAGGGATTAGGTTTGTTGTCCATGTCAACGCCTCCAGTCTTCGGCCCATGTAGTGAGTACAAGGAGATATGCATTGGGCATACACAAAATGTCTTGTTTTATACTGCTTTACCATTGATAGCAGTAGGAATGTCTGGTCATGTAGTCTCCTTAATGGCATTCTTGAATCTACAAACTAACAATGAAAATGAAGCCGATAAAGATAAAAATAAAGATACAGATACAGATAAAGAGAAAGAGAAAGAGAAAAAGGAAGATGGAAATAAAATATTTTGGCAAATGTTAGGTTTATTAATAGTGGTGGTTGTATTAATTGCTGGAGGTATTGCACTTCCATATATAAAGCCATGGTCAATCCGCTTTGGTATTCCAGCTATATGTACATTGGTTGCAACACTTCTATTCATTAGTGGATATTCAGTGTATAAACCATGTAAGCCAGCTGAAGGGAGTCCATTAACAACCACATTAAGAGTCTTTGTAGCTACTACACGTAAGTTATCTCAACCACTTCCTGATCCTAAAGAACTCTACAATGAGGAAGATACTCGATCCACAAGCAGCCTCAGGTCTATCTCTCTCTCTCCCTCTCTCATTAGAAAAAGAACACTGAAAATAGTAGCAATGTACTTACATTTCTTTCCCCATATACATGTTTTGCATGTTTTCATGATTCTAATTTGAAACACAGATGCTTAGACAAGGCAGCTATTAAGTTACAAGAACAACCGGAATCAAAAAACTGGAACCTTTGTAGTGTTCGTGAAGTAGAAGACACGAAGATCGGAATCCGTATGCTTCCAATGTGGCTAACCTTCATAGTCATCGGAATCGTGCTTTCCATCGGAAACACATACTTTCTTGAACAAGCTAATCGAATGGATCGTAAACTTGGAAAAATCAAGATCACGATTCCAATCTTCCTTTTGTTCTATCAAATATCAAGCAGCATATCTACATACTTTTATTCCATCCTTACAATGTGTTTTAACAAAAAGTATGCTCCTCCAGTTGGGATAGCCACAGGAATGGTTTTGTCTGTATTATGTTGTATTACAGCTGCAAAAGTGGAGACTCGAAGATTACATGTGATTAGGGATCATGGGTTGTTAGACAAGCCTGATGAGAAGATCCCGATGAGTATATTCTGGCTGCTTCCACAGTTTATGCTTCTTGCAGCTGTTGATGGAATTGCTAACACGAGTATCACAAGTTTCTTTAAACACCAAGCTCCTGAATCGATGAGGAAATATTTGACTTATTTCACAAAGGGTGTGTTGGGATTAGGGACAATGGCTAGTGTTTTGTCGGTTTATGTTGTGGGGAAGGTGAGTGAGAGAGACCAAAACCCTAACTGGTTTCAGCCTTCGTTGAATAAGAGCCGATTGGATCGATATTATTGGACGTTATCTGGGCTTTGTGCTGTTAATCTTGTGATCTATGTTATAGTTGCATCTTTCTATAAGTATAAGGAAACACCGGATGATGGTGGTGATGAAGGAGAAGGAGGAAATATGGATCCAGGTTTTGAAGACAACGCGAAATGTTGTTGTTGATTTTGGTCGGTGTTGGTGTCTATTACAATTGGGGTGAAGGTGTTTATTTGTTGTGTTTTTAGAATTTATTAACTGCGGTTTGTGTAAAGTTGTTTGAGTAAATTACACAAATGGTCCCTTCGGTTTGGGGTAATTTGCATGTTTGGTCCTAACTAATTTTTTTAACTTGGAAGGTCCGTACTGTTTGTTTTTGTTACGCGCTTGGTCCCTGTATTACCTAAAATGACTATTATACCCTTATTTAAATAAATTAAAATAGTCTTTTTAGGTAAGATAAGATAAGGTAGGGTGGGGTTGGACTGTGTTTATTTAAATAAATTAAAAAATCAATGGGAAACTAGTCTTTTCAGGTAAGACATGGACAAAGCGTGCAACAAAAACAAACAGTAGGGACATTCCGAGTTTAAAAAATAAGTTAGGGACCAAACGTGCAAATTACCCCAAACTATAGGGACCATTTGTGTAATTTACTATATTTTAAATCAATTGATTATGTTAGCGTTACTATAACCAATTTGTACTTATATATAGTCTAGAGATTGTTGTTGTAATAGTTCTTATGTTAGGTATATATCTATGAATTCCATCCATTGTAAATTCACGGTTCCTTTTATCAAATCGGTCAAACCTTTGGCTCTATCATCATAATTTGGCTTCTAACATGTTATTAGAAAGTTATGTTTGTGATTATCATCTATCTTGTATATATAGGTGTACAATCACTCATTCACATTTATCATTAGCTAGGTTATTTGTTATACAAATTATAATCGACATCGAAAATAACTTGATCCTCATTATTGTTTTTAGTATCTATTATTCACTTTTGGTAAAAAAATTTGTCTATCATTCATTATTGATCTTTAATCAAGGAAATCTTATTCTTGTTTTCATTCGATGAACAGTAAATTCACGGGTCATGAGCACCAAAAAAAAAATAAAAAAAAACAACAATATCACAAGTTGTCTAATACTATCTCTCCCCTAGATGCCCCGATGACATAAAGACTTGAGCAAGTTGATGATGCTAATTAAGCAATGATCTTTAGCCCCGGTTGTAGTTGTCTAGCAGGATCAAGGGGCCGCAACCCATGCAAAAACTAGGGGCAGCGCAGAGCCCTTGGCAACCATGTAATCTCTATTATGGTCCTAGAATGTAGTGGGCCGGAAAACATGTTCACATTAAAGAAAAGTTGAAAAAATATGGAATAATTTTGCTCAAGCTTGAGAGCTAAACCCAAGTTTCAACTTCAGCCTGAGCTGCCACCCATTTTTTTTTCTTTCTAAAATGAGTATTTTTAACCGTAATTCTGCAATTTTCATTAACCTTATCTATCTTTTGGGTATATGAGTCAATGAGTGTATGTACTCATATTTCGCTTATTTGGAAATTATAAAAATCAACAATCAATATTCTCTAAAAAAAAGTTGCTTTGATTTGTGCTTGAAACACAAAATGTTCTCATCAAATATCCCATATTGAATTTCTTGTTAATCCAAACATAGGGAAAATATATCAATGCATATAGTAAATTACCAAAAGGCTTTTGGTGTAGCGTTATCAGGGGTTGACAATAGGTGCTAAATGTTAAGGGTTTTAGTCTCATTCTGAATGAAATGTGTAGATTTAAGAGTAGAATAGTGAGTGCATAAGCCGTTAAAAAAACACATAGTAAACTCACATGATTCGTTAGGTATCTAGATTCTTAATTACCAAACCTATATCTATGTCCCACTCCGATTTCTAACAATATATAGATCATATCTTATTTTTTAACTTTAAATTATTATTATTTTCATAATTAAGTAAATTATAAAAATAGTCTTCATGGTTTACATCCAATTTCAATCCACAAGATATTTTGTCTCAATATCATCCTTAAATTTGATTTTTTGTCTCCATGGTGTACATTTTATGATTTAATTTATTTTATATGTAATAACTTGATTTATTAATTTAATTAAAATGATATATTTTAATTCAACAAGTCATTAATTTTGTTTTATAATTTATTTTTTAATTATGTCAACAATAGAAAACTATTTAAAATTTAAAATGGTTTTGTTTTAAATAATAACATTTTATTATTACAATACAACCACCTCAAATTACATATTAGTAAAACGTTCTCAAATATGCTCTATCAAATCATGTTGTAAAACATGATGTAATGTACTATTACATAGCTTAGAGTTCCTTTGAATTTGATATTGAACTTTTTGCACAAGTCCTCGATGCAAACATATTGAATAATCGTCATCTAACCAATTGCTAACTATATTTCCTTAATCATCCACGATCATATTACATAATATAATGCATTTATGCATTTACCCTTTATGTTTTAAAGTTGTCAAGATCTTGATGGACCTTGTACAATTGCCCAACGAGATTGTAAAACACCAAAGGCATTATCAACAAAAAATTTGGAGAAACTGTTGCAGCAAAATTAAAATAAACTATAACATGTAACAAAATTATCATACTTTTTATTTAATTAACTTTTAATTTGTAACTTGTAATATTTATTTTTGTAATTTGTAATTTATTTTGATATTCTTGTTTTATTATATATATATATATATATATATATATATATTTAAATGGTTAAAAATAAGATGGTGATATGACAATCCATTAAACTGTAATAGAGTTTAATAGAGTGTACTTATTAATGGATATAGTATGTAATTGGAATATTGATGTCAAAATTTATTGAATTTTTAAGAATTCAATGCATTAGAGATGACTTAATTTTGTTTATCTTTTTCATATGATTGGTTTTGATCCAAGTTTTCTTTGTTGCATGGCTCGTAACCATGATGTAGTTTCATGTTCTTAAAAGTTTAGTCCTTCCATCATTAATTTTAAGTATTGTAGTGTTAATTCTTTAAATACCAATTTTATCCTTTAGTAATACAGAAACAAATCTAAAAAATAAATACGAAAACCGAGTAGAACACAACAAACATCCTAGACCTACCCTTTGAGCATGCTCTATGCCTATCACAAGGAAAAACATGGATGGTCCTTATACCTCAAAAAATGAGATGTTTTTCGTTTTTCATTTTTGTAATATGAAGCTTAAAACTCTATTCGCATTGAGATGAAATCTTAGATTATGATAATATGGTGTCAATGGAAAGTTTTCATACCATGAAACATTTCATATGATTATAGTGATTACAAACAAAGCGGTAGAAGCAAAAGTATCTACCAAAGTGAATGGTAATCTAATTTATTATAGTTAAAAGCATTCATTCCTACATAAAGTTGACTTCCTTAAAATGTAGGAAGCAAAAGTATCCTTTCTATAATGTTTCACACACGAATAAGATTTGAGTGTTGCGGTTGAATGCTAGTTTAGAAATCTTAAAAACCTCAGGTCTGAGGTCTAGCATACACAACCGGCACAAGATTTCATTTCATAAAGATACAAACCTATTAGTGTATATTATGTTTTATATACTCAACCCAGTTTATAGATAGTCCATTTGTTGTAAGCCCATTAGGTTTCAATCCTTGTATCCGTGTATATATTGGTTTATGGAATGAGTTATCAATCACGTGAAATTACTCTAAATCTATTATGGTATCAGAGCTGTAAAGGGCTCTAACTGAATTTCCTAATATCTTGACACCCACTGTGTCGATCTTCCCTTGCCGCCGCCGCCTTCATCTTCTTTTGTTGCTATTTTCCAATCACCCTTTCATCATGACAGGTGAATCATCCAACCCTAATGGTGGTAACACCAAGCCATACACCATTACCAACATCAAAGCGTTTGTACCTCTCATTCTCGACTTGAATCAACTTAATTATGATTCCTGGAGGAAGTTATTCCAAACCCACTGTACCGGTTTTGGTGTGTATGGCCATCTCGATGGAACCTCAAAACCAAAGGGAGATAAAGATGAAGAATGGTCCACTATTAACTCTCTTTTCAAGATGTGGATCTATGGAACTCTAACTCGGTCCCTTCTTAACATGGTGACTAAACCAGACTCTACCGCTCACACTCTATGGCTCGACATTGAAGCTCTCTTACGTGACAATAAGGAGGCACACATTATGGAGCTTGAAAACGAACTCAGACAGATGACCATGGGAGACAAATCGGTCAATGAATTTTATGAAACAATGAAGGTCACAGCTAATTTGCTAGGTAATATTGGGAATTCGGTCATTGAATTATTGTGACTTATTTTTCAATGGTTTGAACCCCAAATATGACCACATTGCTGCTGTGAGTGACACGCACGACTCGTTTTGGTATATGGATACTGGTGCCACTTCTCACTTGGCCTCAAATACAGGTATACTTCACAATCTTAGTAATAATTGCAAAATAAATTATGTCCTTGTTGGCAATGGTTCTCATATTCCCGTTACCCATATCGGTCGTTACCATTTACTTACATCTCATCGTCCTCTTCATCTTCATAATGTCCTTGTTACTCCTGACATAATCAAAAATCTTATTTCTGTGCGCAAATTCACCACTGATAATGATGCCGCCATTGAATTTGACAAGTTTGGTTTTTCTGTAAAGGATTTTCGAACCCACCAAGTTCTTCTTAGATGTGATAGCTCGGGTGATTTCTATCCTGGTTTCTCGAAGCCTCCTACTCAATCCTCGTTCCTTGCTTATAGTCCCACACTTTGGCACCAACGCCTTGGCCATCCGGGTCACCGTGTCCTTCAATTTTTAAATTCTAATAAATTTATTACATGTAGTCAAAACATTAACTCGGTTGCATGTAATTCTTTTCATCTTGGCAAGAAAGTTAGATTATCATTTACTTCGTCTACTTCAGTTGATTCTAGTGCTTTTGATATTGTTCATTCAGATATTTGGACATCCCCTATTTCAAGTATTTCCGAAATAAATTATTATGTCTTATTTTTAGATCATTATTCACATTTTCTTTGGGTTTATCCTCTTCGTAACAAATCAGAAATCATCTCTAAATTCTTAAACTTTCGTGCTTATGTCAAAACCAAATTTAATACTGAAATAAAATCTTTCCAATGTGATCACGGGGGCGAATTTGATAACCGAGAATTTCACTCCCTATTTGACCAAAATGATATCATCTTTCGTTTCTCTTGCCCCAAAACATCCCAACAAAGTGGAATGCCCGAACGTATGATACGAACAATAAACAATATGATTCGTACCCTTCTTTTTCAAGCTCACATAGCGCCCGAATATTGGGTCGAAGCCCTCCATAGGGCATCTCACCTTCTCAACCTTACCCCTTCCACATCCATTCACAATGAAACTCCGTTCACTAAACTCTTTCATAAAACTCCTTCTTATTCTCACTTGCGCGTTTTTGGGTGACTTTTTTATCCGTACATCACACCACCTCATAAACTTGCCCCACGCTCCACCCCATGTGTGTTTCTCGGTTACCCTACTAGTCATCGGGGATATCGATGTCTTGATCTTGCTACCCGCAAGATCATCATCTATCACCACGTCACCTTTGACTAATCCTCCTTCCCCTTTCTCTCTATGACTCCTAACCATCCTCCCCTTACTCCTTCCTTGGCGAACAATCACCCACCACCATTTATCACATTCTCCAAAATACCATCACCACCCCCATGGAAATCTCCTCTCTTGTAACCAACACACCCTCGGTTACCGACTCACCCTCATCCCCTTCGGGTTCCATACCTCCCACTTCGCCTCCTCCTACTCATGCCACTCCGGAACCTCCTCTCCTCACCCCATGATAACACGTGCCAAACGTTGAATCTCTAAACCTATCACTCGCCTCAATCTCCATACCACTACCGAGTCTCCACTTCCTAAATCTCATCTTCATGCCCACCGTGACCCTAACTGGACCATTACCATGCAAGATGAATTTGATGCTCTTATTTCTAACAAAACATGGAAACTTGTTCCGAGGCCTCAAGGGGCCAATATTGTTCGTTCTATGTGGTTACTTCAAAAGAAATACAGAGCAGATGGATCTTTAGACAGGTACAAATCTCGGTTGGTTGCAAATGGGAAAAATCAGAGACCCGGTATCGACTGTGATGAGACTTTCACCCCGGTTGTTAAACCAGCCACTATACGCTCGATTTTGAGCATTGCCACATCTCGCCAGTGGCCCATTCGTCAGTTAGATGTCAAAAATGCATTTTTACATGGCCAAATCCATGAGACTGTTTACATGCATCAACCTTCAGGCTTCCATCATTCGGATCATCCATACTTGCTATTGATGGGTTTTGAGCACTACAACATTCCTATGGTGTACATGCAAACCCTGAAGCTTTGGATCTAGTTTGTCTAATGAACATGCAATAATCATCCAAAGCCATAAACCTTAGATCTAGCATGTGATAATCAAATAACATATGAATTAGGGTTTAGATCTTACCTTGATTGTTATGTAGTAATAACAATCTCAATTCCTTTCTTGTAATTGACTTCTGAAAGCTTAGAGTCACAAATGTCACTCCTCTAATGGCTCACAAACACCAAGAGCAAGAGGATGAAGAAGGAGAAGAGGAGAGGCACTCAAAAACGTCTAGAAAACCTAAGGAAACTCTTAGCCACGTTTTTGGTGCCCTAGGGGTCCTTAAATAGTGAGGCTATTAGGGTTATCTAACAAGGAAACCCTAATTTGACTGCTTAGGCCCTAAGCAACCCATGGACTCCCTCCTTAGAGGCCTTGGACGATTTCTAATGGGTTTCCCCATAGAATTCATCCACTCCTCTAATATGGAGTCCATTAGCCCAATATTCAACTATCACACAATTGACAGTTCTAGCCCCCTAAGTTTAATTAATCTCTTTTAGCCACAAAATTAATTATTGACTAATATTAATTAAACAATATGATTTCTCCTTTAATATATTATTCTCATACTATATTAATAAATCATAATTAATCCTCTCTCTCCTAATTTCATTCCTATCAAGTTGCTTTGGTGAAGACAACCCAAAAGGACCATGCACCATCGGGTCAAGTACATACCAAAATAGTTATGGACTTAGACACTAATCCAACAGCTATACCCATCAAATTGGATTCACGTGAGAATTGTTAATCAGGTCAAGATTACTCTTTATCTATAGTTATATATTGGAGAGGTTTTTACTTTATTATTTCTTAACATGCTTGGGAGTGGTGCCACCAATGCCATACTTTTTTGCTCTCATATAGAGGTCACCTCACTTTTGCCACACCCCTTTAATTTTTTGCCATTTAGGGGTGGTTTTCCATGTAGCATTTTTATTATTATTTAAAACAATCTAAATTATAGAAAACTAAATTTCCATTAAGTTGAAAGGGAAATTACACGATAATAAAAGATAAGACACTTGAAATTAAAACATAGCCACATAGAAAACATGAAACATTAAAATAACATCACTTCAATCTACATACCGACATCATGTTGCACACCACTTAACAACTTGCCAAAAGTCTACATAACGGAAAGGTTTGTTTTATTCTTGGCGAAACATTACAGGAGCAGTATTTAACATCATTCCATCATTTTCACCATGTGGCCAATCACGTCTCACTTTATTAAACATGTTGTCAAATTCTATTCCCACTTTGTTCGTTTTCTTCTTTTTGGCGTACATTTGATATTGCTTTGGTAGAGACCTCGATGTTAAGTTTTGGAGACTAATTCACCTTTGATCCCATATCTATTAGGTAGAATAAACATGAGTCCCTTTATTAGAAACGACATCAAAACACGTGATATCGAGTTTAGTTAGCATTTTTTGGGTTTGGCCATATTGACAATTTTGGGTCTTTAACTAGTATTTATTATTCACTGAATTCGTGTAACCTAGCAACATTGTATTAAAGCCTTTTACGACAAAAATAATAAAAACTCTCTATGATGTTCTCCATGGACATAGACAATGATCGTGTGAGCCACATAAATTAATTGTCTTTGTTTTCGATTGCATTATTAGTATGTGTGAAATTGTTTAGTGATTTTATTCCAAAAAGATGACTTAGTACTTTCGTTGATACCGACCATCAGGTCCTCCGATACATCGACCCATGCACGGGTCAAAGTCGCTCTTCTATTGTGATCCAATGTACAATCGGGGATCGGGTTGAGCATTTGAGGAAGACATTTTGAGAGGTAAATTAGTGAGTGTTGACGGTTTGAGAGAGATGAATATTGAAGGTTTGAGAGAGATGAATATTGAAGGTTTGAGAGAGGTGAAAAATGAAAATAGTTGTTGGTATTTATTTTGGTAGAAAAATAATTTGAAATTTGTAATTTTAAAAAAAATGGATAATTTTTGAAACGTGGGAAAACAAATTGAAATTGAAAATAATTACATTTCTCATCTTAAGCTTGTTACTCAGTTAGACGGCCGAGCTAAGGGAGCGATGTTTTCCGAGTTGTCTTGCCGATGCATTGCCAAATCCACACCCCGTAGTGTGTATGTCTAATTTTTACTGAATGACATAAGTTCCGTTCTTTTGATATTTGTTGTATTTAAGTTTTGATTTATATTATAGGCATTGTATACATATACTTGAATATAATAATCTAGCAATAATATTTTGTTGTATTGATGAACAAATCGGTTTCTAAGGTCAACTCTTAGACCGTCTTATGTTTTGATTTTTGAATGGATTGGAGGGAAACACGTATGTGTGGACCTTACAGGGTATCCCCTCTCGTGGGCTTGAAGGCTAGGGTTTTAACGATGGGACAGACTGCTTTAAAAGCTGCTGCCAAACATGCATAAGAAATCGTGTATAGAAAATCAATACGTGTTTATACCATTTGCATTTGATACGTTTAGTTTTTTTTGCGCCGGATGCGGTAGAGCTTCTTAATAGAGTACAACGATTCATGCATAACAATGTTATATCCCCTAGATCTATGAATTTAGTCTTCGAAATAATTGACTTTACCATACAAAAAGGCTTAGTGGCACAGCTTTTTACCCATTTGTCATCTCACTCGTTGTACGGTGATAACTAACATATTTTGTAATTTAACCAATTTTTAGAGTTTAAAAAAATTATATTAAAAAAAAAAGACAGAATTAGCCTTGCTATTAGTACGTACACATTATCTGATATATGATCCAAGATTTCATTCTATAGTTCTAGTATGAGACTTAGATGCCACAATTATGACTCGAACATTAATAACAAACCAAAAAAAGTTAATAACAAAATCTTAAAAAGAACATTAATAACAAACCAAAAAAAGAGAACTTATCTTGATAATCAGGAAAGTAGAAACCATCCTACCTAAAGTTATAAACAATACGACTAACTCAACATTACTAGAAAATTAAACCCGATCTGGGTAGCCACTAACCTTCTTGTAAGTATACCACTTGGCAATACCTACATAAGCCAACAAATTCAACAAGCTCAAAACTGCTAACAGCAGAAAGAAATAATCAAGATGCCCTTCATTCAAATTGTCAGCGATCCACCCAGCCTTTCCATTCTTGGTCGTCATCTTCGCCACCACTGTCACAAGCACTGTGCTCAGGTAATTTCCCACCGCAATCGTCGTCAGTGACAATGCAGAACACAAGCTCCTCATTGCATCCGGCGCCTGATCATAAAAGAACTCAATCTGCCCAATGAACGTAAACACCTCAGCGCACCCAATCAAGAAATACTGCGGGGCTTGCCAGAAGATACTCATGGGGATTGTTTCAGCATCGTACAAGTTGTTTTTCCGGACATAGTTCAACCGGAACACCTCCAAGCCAGCAGCGGACATCATGGCAAACAAGGAGATCACAAGACCGATACCCATTCGTTGAAGCTGTGTGAAGCCTCGTTCATGGCGGGTGTACTTTCTGGCAATGGGGATGATGAAACGCTCGTAAACAGGAGCCCAGAAGATGACGCTAAGAGTGTCAAAAAGTGAAAGAGAAGCAGATGGAATCTTGAAGTTGGGACCAATGTGTTGGTCCATGGTGTTTCCTTGCAAGACGAACATGGTGCTCATTTGGCTGTAAACTGCAGCGAATATGATCCCTGATGCCCAAACGGGGAGTATCCTGATGATGGATTTGAGCTCTTCAACTTGAGTCACAGTGCATAGTTTCCAAGGATTGTTCACTTCCTTATTGCGATCTGACTCTGTCTCCACTGCAGCCTTATCCAAAAACCTGCATCATTTTTTTACATTTAACATGTAGAATTATTCATAATGTCATATATATATATATATTGTTATGATTGACATATATACAGTACCTGAATTTATCAGTGTGTTCAAGCTTACGACTTCCTACAATCTGGGATTCTGAATCAGAAGTCTCGTAAAGAAGTGATTTATCATTGGGAACTTTGACATTAAACTTTCTAAGTGACGCTATCATCACTTGACAAAGCCTAACAAAAGGACTTCCTGAAGGCTTTTGAATCCTGTACAAAGGACTCCCTGAGAAGAAAAAGCAAACAGCAATAGCCATGGCGACAGCTGGAACACCAAACCCCCAACCCCACCCTACATTCATCTGTATCCAAACCAAAATGGACGACGCAAAAAGTGCACCTATGTTGATGGAAAGATAAAACCAGTTGAAAAAAGAACTCTTCTTTTTCCTCTCGGATTTGTCAGTTTCATCGAACTGATCAGCCCCAAAAGATGACACACATGGTTTAATGCCACCAGTTCCTAAAGCAATCAAGTAGAGAGCCACAAAGGCGACTGCAGTTTGGGTTGATGTTGGGTGGCATCCGGTGTGATTGCAAGTTGGCTCTAGTCCTTTGACGCATGCAGATAGTGTTAAGAGTGTCATTCCCTACACAAAATCGTGTAAATGTCAGTCACAGCCATGGAGAAGATAGTCTTAAAGATAAGAAACTTAAACTGACTTACAAAGAAGTAGATAATGGAGAAAACAGCAATTGTCCAGTATCTTCCTAAGTATGCATCAGCTAAGAAAGCTCCAAGCAATGGTGTTGCATAACATGTTCCAGACCAATTTGTAACATTGATGGATGCACGGACGTTTCCTTGGTTAAGACGATCAGCCAGATAGTTCACCAAATTGGTACTCATTCCATAGTAAGCCAACCTTTCGCAACATTCATTACCTATACAACGAATAATTAAGTGTATCTAGAAAAACTTAAATATATATATATATATATATATATATATATATATATATATATATATATATATATATATATAATATATATATGATCAAGTAGTGGTAGGAACCGAGGATAATTTTTGGCCGTAGATTGAAAAAATAAATGGTCAGGATTTGATTTATTTATCGTCAAAATCTCGCAAGATTATATGACATTTTCGTAATTAACTGGGAGATTTTGATAATTTCCGGGGAAGACTAATTGTTTGGAGGATATAAGTGACAAAAGCATTTAGACTTTTCTTTAAAAAAAAAAGGAAAATTTGCCCATGTAGTCTCTTCAGGCGCTGACACATGCCCCCACCCAGCATGATAAGTGTCCAACTCTTATTGCCTGGTGAGTTTTTTATTCCACCCGCTTAGTTTTTCGGCAATAATTTTTTTTTTCTTTGAAAAAAAATTCTGAAAAAATCAAAGTTCTTAAAATTTAAGTCTCTACAAAATGAACACAATCATGAAAATTTGAAAAAAAAAACATTATTATTTTATTTTTTACATTATAAAAAAACCTAGAAAAATATTCTCCAAAAATTATAAAAATTTAAGGTATACTTCTACTCGCTATTTTACTGGCTTTGTAAAAAGAATTTTTGAAAAATAAGGTGTCTTAGATATAAAACTTGATTTTAAAAGATTAAAAGTTTTTTAAAAAAATGTTGAACATAATATGATCAAAATAGAGATGATACAAATTATTTATGATTCAATGTGTTTATGATCCTTAAATTATTATGATCTAAAAATATTTTGATTCAAATATTTACTTATCCTTAATTATTATATATTTTATGATTCAAAATTAAATAATTTAAAAAAATATAATGATTCAAATGCTAAATTGAACAAAAACTTTATTTAATTCAATAGATTATGATCAGAATTAATATTATAAAAAAATGTATGATGCATAATATCGTTATGATTCAAAATATTATGATTCAAAATTTTATGATCCAAAAATAATATGATTAAAAAAAATATGAACGAAAATATATTATGATATTTAATATTCTTTTTATATAAAATTTTATAATGTTAAACATTAAAACTCAAACCGATATTTAGTTTAAAAAATCAAAAAACAAAAAAAAAAAAAAGCAAAAAAAAAAAAAATCGAAAAATGAAAACAAAAATAAAGAAAAAACTCTACTATCTTAAAGTATGTAATAAAGATATTAAAAAACGAAAAAAAAACGAAAAAAATAAAAACAAAATAACTTTTTAAAAAAAAAAAAAAAAAAAAATTTAAAACGGTAAAACCAAGCATATATCTATTAACAGAAAAAAATTGAATTTTTTTTAACAAATAATAATAAAAAAAAAACGAGAAAAAAACAAAATAAATCAAAAGGAAGAGAAAACCCCATCTAAATGACGTTCCATGGACGTTCGTCGAACATGATTATTACCTCGAGTCCGTATTACGTTTAATGCATGTGCAAACACGTCACGACCAAGTAAATGAGTTTGACATTTGTACCCTTGACAAAATGATTGGTGGAGAATAAATTTCGCGGTTCCTACTAATTTTGGATTCCTACCGAATTTGGACTATATATATATATATATATATAATTATATATATTATATATATATATATATATAATATATATTACCAAGAACAAATGGGTAAGCTCTCCTGCTTTCATTCTTAATATTTTTGATTCTTATTTGAACAGCTCCCTATATATATATATATAATATATATATATAGATATATATATATATATCTATAATATATATATATATATATATATATATATATATTAATATATTATATATATATATATAAGGTTTTAGGTTCTATGGAAACAAAAAACCCTAAAATCATTAAATGCATAAAAAAAATACTTAGAGATCACAAAACTTTTTTTTGATTTTTTTATCAAAAAATCGCAACTTTTAGGTCAAAATCGCTAAAAAAACTTTTTGAAAATTTTTTTTTAGAAAAAAAAATTGATTTTTATTTTTTTTCATCAGCGAAATGGTAAAAAATGCTGCGATTTTTTGATAAAAAAATTCAAAAAAAAGCTTTGTGATGTCTTGGTATTTTTTATGCATTTTTATGATTTTTAGGGTTGTTTTGTTTTTCCAATAACCCTTCCCTATATATATATATAGATATATATATATATATATATATATATATATAGATATATTCTATATAGCTATATCTTATTTGGATTCTCATACCAAGAATGAATGGGCAAGCTCTCCAGTTTCCAGTCTTTTTCTTGATAGCACGTTCGTTCTTAAGGGTAACGGTTCCATCATTTGTATAGATATCATCGTCTGTCATTGAATCTTCTTCGAGCAATCACAAGATTGAGTATTTTTCTGGTTGTTTGAGTTGGAGAACAAGGCACTACATCAACACTGCAAAAAAAAATATTGTTCTTAGAGTTGTCAAACGACAATATTGGATTTAGAGAAATCAAATATCCTCCTACTTTTTTTCTTCTACCATCTTCTTATACATTAAGATTGTGACACTTATCATAGTTAATAAAGTTAATAAATTTTTATTACACTTTATCATCATCTAAAATTAGTAGAAGAACGGATATAAAGAATAAGTAGGAGGATATTTAATTTATCTTTTAATTATCTTTCTTTTCGGTGTACGTTTCTGTTTTTATTTAGTAGAACTTTTTCCCTTAAAATTTCCTACAAGCCCAAACACTTAGTTTTACTTACAAACAACATATACTTGGATCATATTTTAATCCGACATGAAAATTCCAAGTATAAGCAACTCACAGGCAAAACATAATGAAACTACAAAACAACAAAAAGGAACAATGGCCTATGGCCACATTTTTTGGAAATAGGGTTGTCACAGTTTTGGTTAATTGCATCACTAAAAGTCATTAATCAAATTCCCGTAACGTTTTATTCACATATTAGCTAAAAGGCGTCTCCATTGCAAAGTATTTTCACACATTTTGTCATTGTTTTATATAACAAAATGTGACAAATACTAGCCAATAGTCATGGTAGATCATTATGATTGTAAGTATTTTATGATGACATTTAACAAAAACATATGACTATAAGTATTTTATGATAATAGTTTAATTCTATATGTATGTCTAAAATTAATGATTTTGAATATAAAAGAATAACGTGTGACTGTAAATATTTTATTATGACATTTAAAAAGAACATGTAACTAAAAGTATTTTATAGACACGTTTTAATTTCTATGCGTATCTAAAAGTAAAAAATAGTGACAATAAAGTATAAATAAAACAAGTCACTATAAGTGTTTTGTGGTGACATTCGAATGTTGGAAAATAACAATAAAATTTGGAGGGACTCAATTTTTCGATTTTCTAAAGTGTTTCAAACTTCCCTCTTTAATTACTATATAAAAATTGATAAGATTACACAGATTGCTAACATGTAGACTTCAATTCATTAGGATTGTCATTATTCTACCCTGATCCAATGGATACAAACGATCCTTATTCACTTATACCTTTCCAAAACTCTCATTTCCTAAACCCTAAAACTATATCTTTCTCCCAAATCGTCATCGCGAACCACTTCCCCACAACCACAGCGACTACATCCATCTAAACACCATCGCATAACCAGAGCACCTTCAAGCCATCGCCACCATCGCAACTCCAAAATCCCTAACTGCTAACCACCAAACGTACCCGTTGATCGTCACGTTGTTACCATCTACACTACCCTTCACGATTTTCCTCCTCCCATGTTGCTCTGATTTCTAAACAACCACTTGTTGGTTCAAATTTCTTCTTCAATTCATTGAGAAAACCTAAAAGATTCAGCCGAAACCATTCCCCTTCAACCACATCCAACTGGTGGAGACTTTACAAGAGAACTAAGAACGAAATGTTGTGGGCTCATACATAGTAACGTGCACCGATGGTAGTCACCAACAACACAACAACATCTTCACACCTTCCCATATATGTAACGATTTGAAATATATGCCTATACCAATTATGTGCTTTTGTTATAACTTGTTGATAACACAATCATGCGGGTCGATCCTCTCTTGTTAAAGAAGAATATGGACATGAAGAGCCACATGATGGTAACTCTCTCGACGATTTCAGAAAATTAACTCATAGATTTTCTTGCCTCTTTAACAGACCACACCCTAACTGTAAGATTTAATTCTAGTTTCTCTTTTACACGTATTACAACCCAACCTTTTATCAAGATAGTTTTGTCTTCTTTTTTAAAAGATTCCCGATGAACTGGTGGAACATTACTTAAACCAAAAATAGGTTTCAATGCCCAAATGTTCGATTGTAGGTATCTGGACCATAGTCACAGGATTCGCCAAAGTAGTCACGATCTACGTTCTAATCGGCCCGATCCCAAACGCGGTACCATTGCGTACCGATCGCCGACAGAAACGCCATGTGGTACGTTTTGATAGCGATCCCACCATTTCTCTAAATCGATACCTGAAACGTGAAATTGGCGAACCGGATTGCACAGAAACACGATTGGGATCGGCAATTTTGGTTCTGGAACGCCGATTTGAGAAATTAGTGGGAAATTGATTTCATCCGGGGAAAAGTCGCCGACGCATGATTTCTTCATTCAATTCCTCGATTCCATGTTAGATATTTACACTTTCACATCGATTATTCTAATCAATTTTAACAATTATATAACAGCTACACCTCTTATCCAATATCATCAATTCACTATGACTCCACTTCGGTTCTACATTCTTATTGCTTTTCAATTCACCATAAATTGCCTCTCATATATTTTGTTTCTTTATTGCTTTTCATCTTTGAAAATGGTTTTTGAAAGTTTTTTAAGTGTTAACTTAGATGTTCTGTTTTTAAGTATAAAATTGATTATAAGTAACTTGCATTCTTGTTTTTTTAAGTTAAGAAATTGCTGGAATTATGTTTTGAACATGTGTACACCGTATCGGAATCCATGGTACACTGTACCGGGCTGTACCGAAATGAACCTACCCCCACCGTATCCGATACGTCCTAATTGGCGAATCGCGTTCCCGTACCGAAGCGTACGGCGAACTATGTGACTATGATCTGGACTGTTATCATCTCTCATTCAATCGCTCAAATACTCATGTTGTGAACCCCGATTCTTTATTCATATTGGGATAATAGTTTTGTTAGTTTTTTTTGTAGGATTGATGTTCGGGCTTACTTTAGGGCTCATGTCATTAAGTCTTGTTGATTTGGAAGTTCTTTCTAAATCTAGCACTCCTAAAGACCGTATATACATAGGTATTTGGTCCGATTCTTGCCTTTTTTGTTTTACCTGTGTATTAACTGCTTGTGATAGTTCGTTTTTTTTTGTTTTTTTCTTGTAAGTGGTAAACATGTATGCGTTTTAATGTGTTTTTTTTCTGGATTTTTGTTTTTGTGCTCTTCTTATTACCATATAGCCTTCTAATTTGAGGAACTCCTGTTAGAAATAGGTTGAATCGATTCATGTCAAATTATGAGCAATGCTTATAGATGTGAAAAAATACCATCATTGACCTTATTGGAGCTAAAAGAGAAAAAATGACTGAAATCGTGTGAGGTATTCTAGACCTGATGGTTTATTGGTCATTATAGTATCCTACTTTTAAGTTTTTCCTATTTCAACGTTGTACTTTAAGAAATCTTACCAATTTATAGCTTATTATTACATTTTGTGATGAATAATTATGTTGTGTTGAAATAAGAATCAATCTTGCATTTGTTGATGATTTACACATGTGGTGGATGTTGTTGATTACTGTATGCTAGAAATTTTTACCCCTATGGGTGAAAGTAAGTATACCTCATGTATTGGATCTAAAATATGTAATAGCAATGCACTTTCGTTACATGGTTAAAGTTGTTAAAAATATATAGTTTCTGATTCCTCTTTCTCCTTCTCATAGGCCACTGACGTACAACGAAGAAGAACACAACTTTAATAACAATTGGCTGGTTTTATAAGATAATTTTACAATTGGTAATCCAACAAATGGTTTTTACTTTTTTTTAAACTAAGTTGTTAAACATTTATCATTTTTATATGCAATTGTATTAGACATTTTTAATGTATTAGACAATTTGTATAGTATGTCTATTAATTTTGGTTGTTTGTCAGAATAACATACATGATGTTAAATAAACAATGTTTGGCATATAAATGATTTTAAGTTGTTCAAGAATAGTCATGGCAAACAAAAAAGTGTGACTGAATGTCAATAATAGTCACCGTTTAATCTATTATGTGTCATTAAAAGTCAAATAATAGCTATGACAAATGAAAAAACATGTGACTAAAAGTAGTTTATGGTCACGAGTTAACATATTACGTGTCACTAAAAGTCAATAGTAGTCATGACAAAAGAAAAAACAGGTAACTAATAGTAGTTTATGGTCACAGATTAATAATAGATGTATCACTCAAAGTCAATAATAGTCATGACAAACGAGCAAAACACGTGACTAAAAGTATTTTATGGTCATGATTTAATATATTGTGTGTTACTAAAAGTCAACAATAGTTATGGGAAATGAAAAAACATGTGACTAATACTAGTTTATGGTCATGTTTTAATATATTACATGTCACTAAAAGTCAGCAATAGTCATGAAAACAAAAAAACTTGTGAGGGAAAATAGTTTATGATAATGGTTATCAAAAAATGATTGAAAAACCTACAAAAATTGGTAACCTGTGGTGACAATTTTTACCTATAGTAACGGTTTTTATGGGTTATAGTCACCACAATTAAACGTCACCATTACCTTTAATGATGCAACATTTCCTTACACATTGAATGAAAAAAAAAATCATAAAATGCCCTATAATGATAAGGTTTTTGCGTGGTCAAATGCTAGTTTTGTACTAAGGTATCTTTTGAGGGAGGATTGTGGTCATTTTGGTTTTAATTGGACTTGCAGTCACCTCCACGTCCACATCGCGACACCGAACCCGTCCGGACCTCGACCTTCGTGTCCTTTTTATGATGTGGAACACATATAGATCTGGCAGAAGCCTTTATGGAGAAATGAAAGAAGGACAAACTAGACCAAAGAGGTCCAACTTAAAACACGTGACATGGGGTAAACCGGCAAATTGCTATGGATGAGAGGTAGAGGTGATGAGATGGTTTCATCAATAAAAGGATATTAGACCTTTAAGATGAGAAAAGGGATAACTTGTTTCCGCTGGAAAAGATCAATAGAAGAATAGAATAGAGGAGGAAAGAGACCGAAAATTCTTGGGTTGGGGGTATGAATTTGTCTCGGTGGAATAAAGGATGATGACAATTATGCCTTTAGC